TCTGTTATATATATCCCATGTGTGTGCATCATACAAGTATAATTAAATAATAAATAAGTAGAGCTATGTTGTACACTTGCCTAAAGAGTAGCATGTCTCCCAATAAAATATTTTCTCTCCATTTTAAATAAGTATGTTTGGAAATTCTCTTGCTACCCATGTATTCATATTATTTATATATGTTATATAATTCTATAACATGTTATAACTAATCAATCATCAGAACATTTAAATTTACAAGCACAAAGGACCCATGAAATACCAGAAAGAAACCAGTATTTCAGTTTTTATTTGCTGTAGAATGAATGCATGCATCAAAACAGCATATGCATAACATAAAGATTGCTATGATACCAAATATATATTGCATACACAGAAATTTACTTAGAAACAAATCTGAAATGACTAACCATTTCTTGGCAGCAAATTTATTTCTTTCTTGTCACTCGTTTCTAAATGAGTGACAAAATGCTAGCCTCTCCCCAAAACATTAGACTATCAGTGTGCAAGGAAATCATGCAAGATAGTTCTAATTCTGAAAAGAAGAAGAAGAAAACAAAGATTTTCTGATTATTTTAAAGGAGAACATTGTTCTATTTAATGTAATCAGGACTAGTCCTCTGAGTCTTACAAAGTCTATAGCTTTGGAGCTCCCAGTATTTCAGGTTTCGAAATCAGCACTGAACTCATAATAATTACATTTTATTGGGAAATTCATGGTCAAAAGTTAGAAATTAATCTCCATTATTTTATCCTGAGAACCTGCCTGCAATGTCAAAGATGGCGTAAGAAATTCTGATCCTAAGAGTTGGGAGGTTTTGTTTGTTTGTTTTCCTGAATTAATTTGCAATTGGATTTCTCCTCAGTGTTTTATTCCACGTTTATCATTGCTCCCAAAGCCTTTCCTTGGATCTTGTGCAATCTCTAGCCTGTTCTGTTGGACTTTGAGCTGGGTCCCACAGTTGCGTTGCTGGTTTCCCCCACAGCTATGACTCCAAACACGTAGCCAAGTGAGGATGTTGTGTGCAGACGGACACAGCCCTCGGAGCCAGAGAAGCCACCGTCTGTTTCTACCCGTTCTGGCCAATACATGCTGCGTGGTGCCTTGCATTTGACTTTTTACAAGAAAAATAACATTCGTATGTTCCACAGAAGTCAGTCCTAGAGAAGCACCTGGGTGTTCAGAACCCATCACTGCTCTCCCGTTTGTATCTCAAGACCATCGCTCAACCTCAGTCATTCCTTTAGAAATTTGACTAGGTGGGATGATGATCAAATGTTCCAGGCATTTTTCATCATTCAAAATACTAACTAAACAAAAGAGGGCACTGAGAAACTTTCTTACAAACAGGTCTTTATAGCAATTTTGCTGTGTTTCTGGCATTAACTTTTGGTGCTAGCTCTCCTTGTTTATGTATATTTTGTAACGCAATATAATAGGAGAATTACCCTATGGGCATAAATAAAGTTCCATGAGATTTTATTTCTATTTATCATAGATAGAAGGGAGCACCTCTTGGATTTAAGTCTATTTGAAAGGAGTTGCTAAAGAAAAAAAAAATGCGTAAAGTATTATCTTTGCTGATATTTTATTCACTTTTATAATCTACAAAATTTTAAACATATACATGCAACTAGGGAAACATTAAAAATATATATATATATAGAATCTCTTGGTAAGAATCTGGGCTGCCTAGTACCTCCTTTCATGCCCAAATAGTATCATTAATTGGTACGAGGCAAGACTTCTGTTCTAACTGCATTTGTTTCCTTCTGAATTTCCCAGCAGTTAAAGAAAAAATGTTGCTAAAATATATTTTACATTTCAAAAGTCTCGATTCTATGTAAGTGAATTGCTTTATGCCTATTTTCAGTCAAAGACGGATTCTCTCCCTTTACAATGTTCATGAAATTTGCCAGTGAAAATATACTTTTTTCACATACTGCAGACAGATGCACTTTTTAATTTTTTGTAAACCTTCCTCCTAAGAATTTATGACACATATTTTTAACATAAAGGAGGTTTTTTTTGTTTGTTTGTTTGTTTCATGGAAACAAATATATAGTGACCAAAAAATGGGGAAGTGTTGACTTTGCAATCTCATTCTATACCTGAAATTCCTTAAAGGAAGGGCAACTACTTTTCAATATAATCAATATGAAGTTTATTGAAATCCGCAACCTTTCTTCCTTTGGCTTCCCAATTAGAATTCATCTTAAATAGTATTTGTTTCCACCTTTATTATTTCTCATGTTGTTGGGCATTAGAAAATGATTTTTTTTCTCCTCCTTATGTTTTGTGTGTTTTATTTTTTGCATTGTTTCTAGTTCTGGATGAAAAATGAAAGCCTCATTCCATATCACAGATTGGGAAGTTAATGATTAACTTTATTTAAGGCCCATTAAACTCTTGCATCTGCTTGTATATTGTCATAAAGAAGCTCATTTCCCGAATCAGAATTCTGTTTCCTGTTTGTGGTCGACTGTATTTGCCAATTTGTATTTGTACATGCCAATTGCATGTACAACTTCAGTGCCTTGCTAATGTTGTTCTTTTTTTTCGTTTAACTGGAGGTTGCACTGGATTGACTTATTTTAGCCAGAATTGAGGAGGAGGAATCATAGAGTATACTCTGCTTCTTTTCTCTTGGTTGGCTAATGTGATTTATCACCCTTCACTCTGAAAAACACAGCATGTTTTTGGAGTGTTTTACATGATTGTTGTAAACTTCCAGTTGGCTGTGGCACTGGATGCATATGCCGTTTTCCCTCTTCTTCCTACTGTGTGCCTAATACCTAAATCAATCCTATTTTATCTGTTTCATTTATTTACTTTTGGTTCAGAAATTTTGAACAAGTTCATATGTCATGAAGTTATTCAAGCATGTTGTCAAGCCAAAGACATTTTACTGTCCTTCGCTTTATGTGGCTGCTTATTCTGCAATGTTCGAGGCACAGATCTTGTGCACCTATAATGCCTGTTGAAGCATATGTTGCAACCTTTTGCCAGAATCCTAAAATACTCACGACTAAGATACTCATGTGTAGCTGATTCGGTTCAAGAAATCACATATATCAGAGGATAAAAGTGGATAGCTGGGGATTGAATAACAAGGTGTAGACCTTGCATTTCGACTCCCTTTCTTGTTTTAATTTTTTTTATGGACTTGAAATAGCTTACAATTTTAGGTTTTAAAAGTTCAAGTTTAAAAGTTAAAAAGTTAGGTCAAAATCATTTAGGTAAAAAGTTAGTTTAAAGGTTAAGTTTCCAGTTGCATTTGTCAGTTCCTTTGCATTTTCTGACCTGAAACTGAACAAAAAACCTGAAATCACAAGTGAGTCACATTTTTCTCTCCTCTGACTTCATACTTTACAGCCTGACCCAAATTTTAGGGGTACATTACCTGAGGGTATTTTATCTGAGCCAATGCATCCTGATACAATTTTATAAACTGTTACTTGAGTGCTGGCAGCAAATTCCATTTTGTACAAACAAGAGAAATGCAGAGCCTGTTACATTCTTAAGGATAGTGTTTCACATATGGATATTTTGAAAGATTAGGCATTTGTGTTTTATGAATTCTTAGAATCACTTTTCATGTCAAAACGTCTACATAGCTGTCAGCAGGGGCCTGCTGAAAATCATTAACTTTTTTCTTCCAGAGTGAAATTAGCAGCAGCTTTTTCAGCAGCCCTGTCTTCGTCCCGCGTGCTGTCTGGGGTAGTCAGTGCAGGCCTCAGAGGTCGCTAATCAAGAAGGCAAACCTTGATGATGGGGTGCCTAATGGCAGCCTTATTTATAAGAAGACTTTCTGTTTTACTATTTCTATGCAGTTTTCAACTGTGTGTGTTTCACCAGATTTTGCACACAGCAATTATATTTCTCTATCTGTGGGTTCTGTTCCATTTCGCATTAAAATGAGCCATCAATACCGATTTCCAATTAAACATTAGTTTATGGGTAAAAATGAACATTCAGAAGTAGAAGTGTGGATATTTTATCTTTTTGATTCATCAGTACCAGTATGTCCTACTATAAAGCTGTGTTTGGTGTTACATAATCACCAAGATACTGATTTATTAAATGCTAGTTGTTTGAGAAGTAACCAACGCCGAAGGATTGCTTTTCTACATAAACACGTAGGTATGTATGAATGTGGGAGTTGTAGTTCCATTGTATTTAATGGTTGTTAATGTATTTGTGTAAGAGGAATTCCGCAAGATAGCCATCATTTTGGAATGTCTAGATAGCAGGAAGAGTATGTAACGGTAACATTTCTGCACTTTCCTCCGTATTCCCTTTGTTTGAGGCCATCAAAAAGGTCAGTGACTGATTCATGGTCTCTTTCAGGGCTCCAGAGTCATCTTTTCTTCTAGTTGACCTGGACCTATAAGTGAATATCATTTATATCATATATTTTGCCATCCACCTTTTAGATTGATTTAAAAAAGAAAAATCTTGCATGGTTAAAGAGCTCCAGTCACTTTTCCACTTCTGCATTCACTTTTTATTTCATTGGCACTTGCTGCTGCCTTTTCTTCATCTTCACATCCTCCCTTCCTTCCCTGCCCTTGGGAATTTCTCCATTAAGTTGAACTCTCCTGTTCACCATGAAGAATCTAGTTCTATGGTTGAACAATCCTCCAGCACTCAGAGATCTTTTTAACCTTCTTCCACCTCCCTTTGAAACCACTTTTACACTTAATTTCCCCCAGAATAATTTCAACAATTATTTTCATATCATCATATCTTCCTTGGTCACGATGACCAGTTGGAAAAAGCACATTTACATCACAAAGTTATGTTACCTTGAGTAGAAGGGCAAGGCAGTAAATGCACCTCTGAAGCCAGAATATACTTATGTTAATTGTTGGCTTAGAGGTCCCTGTATCTTTTAATTAGTTGTCCTATTAATACCCTAGAGTGCTTTAGTTTTTAAATGAAAGATAAAAGCTACCTTATCTCTAAGGAAACTGGTCTTGATTTTATTAACTTACAGGACAGAAGAATAATTGGCACATATCATTGTCCAGAAATGTATTCAACAAAGGTATCTTTCACTGTTTTCTAATATTTTTTCTAACCTCAGGGACTTAAAGTTGAGGTCCTGACCACTCGTGGTCATTAAAGATCCCATGGCACTTTTTTTACAGAATGGACATCTCAACCCCAAGCATCTGGCCAAATACTAATTTACGTGACTGTTCTGCTTACCTAACATTCCCACCACCACTCACCCACCCCATAGTTTCAATTGGCTATAGCATTCCTCATTTCCTCTACTAAAATCTAGTATACTGTTCTGCACTGTCAGTCACCACATTTCACCTCAGAGGTGATTGCACTTCTGCCAAGTGAAGTGGTTCTTTCTGAAGTCTGTAAAGCGCTTTGGGATCCTTTTGAAGGGGTGGTGCTGTGTACAGTAAATGTAATTCATTGCCGTTCTATAGAAGCTTCACGTAGTTAGAAAAGCATGTTTGATTTAGAGTTGGGCGAACCTGCTTGGTGAGAATAACACTCCCAGCTCTGGCTACTCTGCCAATGAACCTTTGTCAGAGGTGTTAAAGTCAGGTTAAGTTCTTTCTTTATTGGCTTATTTTCACATTCTCTTGTTCTTCCGGATTGGAACTTCGAGATTTCTTCAGATTGGGAATTTGAAAAAAACATGGAAAAGACTTAAGTTTCTGTAATGGTTGATTCACTCTTCTGAGTGCAGGAAAGTCAGATTAGTGCTGGAGAAGCCCCTGAATTTTATGGTGCTTTCCTGGCCATTCAAACACTTGAAGGTTCGCCCATCGCTAATTTTTGCTATATTTCGAGTTACTAAAAAAATATTTATCTTGGAATATTGTAAAATGTGCTGCAATTCTGATGTTGTATCAGTGCGATACGTGCAGAAGGATGACTATTTCCCCTAGCAGATAGGTTAGAATATTATTACTTAACGCTCTTTCTGTGTAGCTAATCTTGCTAACTGCTGATCTTGCTCACCCATCTAATCTTGCTGACTGCTGCCAGATCTACCAAATATCTGCAGGTACCTGCAGCAACTTGCTGCCTTAGCAAAATTACCAAGTACAGGTTCCTGCACAAGCGATCTTAATATAAGCAACAGTAACAAAGGAATCAAAGCAAAACATTAACCAAAGGGAAAATGCCAGCTGCAGTTATGCCTACCTAATAGCTCCTTTCGTATGTGATGTTTCATGGAAAGCATATGAGTTTTTAAGGAACACTCATATTTCTGTTATCATTGCAGATCAGAATGAAAAAGTGTTTGGAGACTAAGACTTAAGATGTGAACAAGTTTGTGGGCACCATCTTAGAACACACAGCTCTGACATGAAAATAACCCAAGCTCTAAGCTTTGGAGTAAAATCATTGCATTAGTGGAAGTTACGTCAAATTTACCCAATATCATTACAACTAACATGTCTCATCTCTTGCTAAGGCTTCAGATGATGGAAAATCTAGTTTCGAAATGGCTTTGCACCCCCCTTGTAAGATATTTACCCTATTTGTTTATATACCTTCCTGGGGTCAATGTATGCCAAATGCCTATAATTGCTCGTATTTTCAGGATACTAAAAGTCTCATTTTTTTGTCTGCAATCTTAGGGCAAGAATGACAATTTTGTCTTACATCAGACGTCTCTAATAATTTTCTGAACCATTACACTCATTATAAGAAAATAATTGCAAGCTCTCTGGAGAAGTTTCACAGGTCTATTTGAAAGCTTTTGTATTTCTTGCAATAGCACAGAACTTTTTTGCTTTAATTCTGCACAATGCAGATGAGAACTGATTTGGTGGACTTCCTGACTGCAACATACTATTTCTCTTCCATGCTTAATTTAATGCTATGGTGTTCTGAAAGAAATTTTTTTTTTGAATTTCAGCTCAACTTTTCCATTTTTTTCTCTGCTTCTTAAAAAAAGATTCATTACCCTAACATGCTAGGAAATTCAAAGTTTTCGTGTGCTTTTGATTGAAAACCAGCAGAAATAGATGATTTTGACTGTTTCACATTGTCATTACATTTAGTCCAAAACTAAAATACATTGAACTTACAGGGGTGCAAATTCAGGTTGAAAAATATATATATATATTCTAAGGAAATCTGGCATCTTAAAGATACCAGTTTCTGTGCATCACCTGAGCAGATGTAATCACTCAAATGACAGTGGTTCAGTTAGTCCAAAGCACTTGTATGAAGTTTCTGTCTTCCCATTTCATAATGCTGCGTAGTGGATAATACTGCATAGCAGCCTCTTCCTACCCAGCAGCCTTATCAAGGCATGTGAAATCTTACCTGTTTTTTCTTGATTCTGGAAAATATTATGCAATATTTGGTAGCACAGTGAGGTACCTACTGGTGACTGCTGTGTTTTACATGTTACAGAACAGGTTAATGCAATGTTGTGTAGAAATCCTCAAAAGTCACCATTTATGTCCTAATAATAATCACAATATTTGTACATGGTAATTGATAATGTGATTGTGTTATCTCTAAAGAAACTTTGGGACAATTTTATCTCTTATTTGGACTGGAGTACATCTTCAGTACCACCACTCAATTTCATGTACTTGATTAGCTTCTATTAGCCATTACTGCTTTTTAAAGTATGGTTATTTAACTGCACAATTCCAAGTGCAGTCTTAGAGGGAAGGCTGAGGAAAGCGAGTGTCTCCCTGGTGACCTTCAGTTCATTTTCTGCAAATGGAATATTTTGTAGTTCTTCTGCCATACTTTGGATCTACTCCAGATTACCTAAGAGAAGTTGCTCCCTAATCTTTGAAATCCTCTTAATCATCTGAGCATTAATATTTTTCACTGAATTCCCATTTTTCTTAAAAAAGTAATTGAAGCCATTCATTGAAACAACTGTTTAGTGTAGATTTGATGTGATTACACTATGAATTATATGTCTACATTTTTCCTTCTAAACTGCAGGCCTTTGCTATTCTGTGCAGGTCAGTGTTCAGGTCTCCTAGTATGCGCTCTATTTATGAAATTCATTAGCACAGGGATGGAGCTTCCCTAGTTAGGCTAGGGAAGAAGCAAAGCCAAAGTAATGCAGCTCCTTTTCTTTTCCATCTGACCTCCCTCCAGAAAAGGCAGAAGGGTAAAATGTTAGTCCCAGGTGTCGCACCCCCTGGTAGAATCGCCCATTCAGGCAACTGCTCCATGCACCTTCTCCAGGTATTGCTTCTGCTCGCTGAATGTGAGGCCCAGGGAAATACCTTTTATTCTGCCCTTTCTGCTGCTGCAGTTTACAAACAAATGACAAAAAAATAGTCATGGCTGTGCTTAAAGTCTTATAGACTGATGTCCGATGAATCAGAGATGTTAGAGCTAAGCCTTGTCAGCGTGGCTTTGGTGTGTGACTGCTTGGACGTCCTGTCTCTCCTTGCTAAGTCTACCTCCATGTTTCTTACAGATGGATCCACACGAAAACATTTTGTTGAGCACGCTCGAAATTAAAAACGAGATGGCTGCCTCCGAGGCTGTGATGGGGCTTGGGGACCCTAGGAGCACGATGCTGGCCTACGATACGTCAAGCATCCAGTACCGGAAAGCCGGCTTGCCCAGACACAGCTTTGGTCGCAACGCCCTGGAGCGACACGTGGCACAAAAGAAAAGTAGGCTACGGAGACGTGCATCTCAACTGAAAATTACCATTCCTGACTTGACTGATGTAAATGCCATAGATCGATGGTCGCGCATATTCTTCCCTGTTGTTTTTTCCTTCTTCAATATTGTCTATTGGCTTTACTATGTGAACTAAGAAACGAAGTCACACAGGAAGCAAGAACTGGATTTCTCTTCAAATCGGTTGTACAGCCAAAAGTGGGACTTAGAAAAATTCTATTCAGGACAAAATGTTATTTTAAAACACCTTAGTTGCTGGCCCACTCTATGGTCTGTTTTATAGTTTTGGTTGTTTCTGCTAAACCATAAACACCTTCTTAAGTTGCAGCGTGGACATATCCCCCTTTCCAAAATATAAGTGCATTTCAAGTGTGGAGGCGAATTGGATTCTGACAATCATTTCTCTCTTGCTGTCTCTCATGCTCTCTTTTCCACTTTAATACTCATATGAATTAAATGACATAAATTAGAGAGACATTTGAGATACAGGTTTTAGTTTCAATGGCAGTGTGTGTTATTTCCTCGTGAAACTGCATATCCAATACATGTGCATCTACGCTTAAGAGAGTGTGCTAAGATGTTGTCATGCTTTCAAAACATACATTTTAACTTTTGAATATGTAAACTTGAAAACAAGTAGTGCCTGTCATCTTTCCAAGATGACGATGATCAGAAGTTTCCCAGCTGTATTCAGGTATTTCCTGTTATTTTTTGAAAGAACTGAAGTTTTGACTGATAATGTGAGTGTTGGGGGTTTGCACAGAAGCTGAAGTAAAAAGCAGTAGTTTTGTTTGCATTTTTAAGTGATAACACATGGTGACAATCACAATGATTATGGTTGTGATCAGTAGATACAAAGGGGGATCAAATGGTCTTGTTGTGAACGGGTAGATAATGCTGCTGTTTCATGTCAGGGAAAGGGAATCATTTGTCCAAAGTGCCAAATGTTGGTTGTCCAAAAAGTAAATGTCCAGGTGGCTAAAGAAAGCCAGCGGTGCCCTGCCTGTCTAGAGAAAGAAAAGTTAGACAACAGTTCAAAAATACAGAGCTAGAGAAAGGGAAGGCTACAAATATATATAAACATATGTTGTCAGTCACAGTATGTACCTTAGTCTAAAATTCTCACGTGGAGTTCTGTGATTTCTTTCACGTTTGCAATCCTTCTAGTGCTCTGCTTGCTGCTGTAGTTGTGCTTAGCACCTAACATCCAATTTGATTTAAAGATCTCATGGCTTTTTGGAAAAGAGAAATCCAACCATACATACCCTTGTACAGAAAATAACGACAGGGTATTTTTCTGAAGTTGGATTAGGCAATGCCATTTCCCTTCTTGTTGTTTTGCTTAGCTTAACGCATTGTTTTCAAGAGGAAGACTTGGTAGGCGTCACCTTTAATTACTTAATTACACTCTTAGTACTTTCTGCTTCAGAGTGACTTATGGGGGGGGAGAAATAGCAAAATTCCGTTTTGCTTTAGGAAACTTTAAAAGGGAACATATTTTTTTTCCATGTCAATTTAAAACCATGGCGTTTAAAATTTATAGGCAAACTATTCCTAAAGTGTGGGCAAAGTAAATAAAATTTTCCATTTATTCTGTTGTTAAAAATATTTTTATATAATGAAAAAAAATCACAAGAACAGTACCAAAAGTATAAATTCATATTGACTTTTATAAAACCAGATCCTAATATTGTTCACAGAAAATATTTAATGAAGCAAAAGCCACATCCTGTTATATTTCTGCTACCTCTTATCTGTCTACAAACTTCTGAAAAAACCCCTCAAATTTCTCTATCTTTCAAAGAGGAAGGGAGAATTTTCAGACAGATGCTTTCTCAATTTAACAATCCTTTAAGATAGATCTGAAGAATATTTTTAGGAGAATATTTGGGTTTTTTTTGTTCTTTTAAGAATAACATAACTCTTTGCATTCTTCCCCATTTAGAGGAATGATGGCATAGGAGGAAATAGTTTTGGGAATTGCCAGGTTTATTCAATTATTTCTGACTTTGTTTTAACCACAGCATACAATTATTTCTGTCTCAAATGGGAAGTAATACTTTTGAGCTTGACATGAGGTTTGCTGGCCACAGCTACCACCTGGAGTGTGCAGGGTAGGAACTTTCCCAGGTCGAAATGTTGCTTTTTGCTCACACACTTGGTTTCTGGCTGCATTTCCTGCACAAAGCAGAAAGCTTTGTAGATGCATTTGAAATTTCAGCTGCTAGTTTTGAATCTTGTTGGAAATCTTCTCACAATTCTAAGAAAAGAATCCAGACCAAATTCAGTATTTCTCCTCAAAGTCTGTTCTTCAAAAATGGGACCTTTTATAATAAATAAAAAGCAGTCTTACAGATTTTTTTCTGTACAAGTTTTTTTTTTTTAAAACAAATTACTTCTGACTTTCTTTTGATATTCAGAGAATAATGCTGTGAATCCTGGGAACTCACAGCATGTTTGTGGCACTTCAAATATAAAACCTTTCAGAGAACTTTTTTTTTTCACATTAGTTTTTTGCATCACCTACTGCAAAATGGCAGAGATTAAATCCTAGAACTGCACGTTAATTTATCTGAAGTTATAGTACAAGCCATACTACTCTCTGCTGCACAGAGAGTGAAAGAAAATGTCTGGTGTCTGCTCAGGTGTCACTAGAAAAGGTGTTTTATCTTGGGAAAAGGAGCACTTTTGCTTTTACTATGTCCTTCTGGCTATTAATGTCGTGTAAAAATGAGCAGAAGGGAAGGGTTCTTTCAGATGCAGAGTGGCTGTCACATACCAAGGCTAAACACTGTGATCCAAAGAAGATGGGGACAAGAAAGACTGATGAGGCACTGCCAAGGCAAAAGGAGGACTGGAGTGCTCGAGTTGAGCACTTGCTGCTTTTCCGAGGTGATTGGATGAAAGTGGGAATTCTGCCACCGTACATGATATGGTTTTACTATGTGTGCTACCCACCAGGTAAATTAGAGCAAACTTCTTTCTTTGGAGCTGACCAAAAATCAGTATTCTAGATCCTTCTACTCTGTTCATTGTTGCTAGCTTCACTAAGTAAAATAGCTAAGTTAATAATTTAGATAAAGCTTGCTTATAGTTACATATTTTATTGTTCTATTAGACATGATAGCCAGCAATTAAGGTGTTTTTCATCTTTGTGAAATTCATTGGCAAATTATGACTATAACATGGCACAGTTTTAATGAAGTCTTTGAGATCAATCTGTAAATATATACTGTATATGACTGCTAGTAAGTACGATACAAATTTTCAGAACTGAAAATTCATGCAACATTTCTGTGTTTGCATAAGGAATGTTATGTTTCTGTCCTATTGCAGTTTAATGACTGGGAAGAAAGACTCAAGCAATGACATTGTGAACATTTATTTTCTCATTCCCAGGGGAGGAAAACGGAGTCTCAAATAACAGTATGTCACAGAATTCTTCAGACAGTTTTACAATCTATTACAAAGAACGTAAAATATGTAAGGAACAAAAGCACAATGCACAGAGAAAACGACTGGTGGTCTTATACCTGGGGAACAAATCTTTCTTACTTCAGACAAAATATGCATTAAGATTAAAGCTCAATTAATTTTCATTATAACTGTTAGACTGTGTTGCAGATCTACAATTAACACAGTGCTAAACATAAGTAAACAGATGTTACACATTATCCAAGTGTATGTGCATATGGGCATGCATAAATGTCTATATGGACATATGTGTGTATATATACACCTGTGCTGAGTATATGCACACGCATTCATATGTTGGCGTGTTAAAGGAATAAGCTAATAATAGTTTTGTTTCTATCATCAACCAGTGTATGAATATATTTTTGAGAAAACAGATAAATGTATTAAAAAAAAAAAAAAAAACTAAATATACAGGGTAACTGGGCATTTCTATATCAGCAGATCAATGCATAGAATTCGTATGGAGCATTGCACCATTTGACATACCAGTAGTACTGTACCTCCTAGCATCTGAAATTAGACTAGTCCTCACATTGCTTGCCTATTTCTTCTCTCTTTTTATAACAGCATTGTCCACTAGTAAGTTTTCAAAAACAATGAAGTCCTAGGGGAACCAAGAAAATAAAAGGCAAAAATATTAAGTATTTCTAGAAAATAATCTAGGGTGGGATGGCCAGGGTACGATACTATATCAGTAGTGATCATAACATTTTGCTATGTGTACATAGAACATACAATGTGAGCAATCATAACTTAAGCTGAGCGTGTGTAAATATTATCAGATTTCTTAAAACATTTTTAACTTCTAATTTGTATTTTATGGTAAGGCAAAAAGCTAATTCTATTTATGGTTTAGGTTAATGTGTCCTAAAATTATGTAAATAATTAAATAAGCTGTAAATGAGCAGTCAATAGATACAGTATTGTTTAGTGACTTTTTTTTTTTTTTTTTTTACTAAGTCCAATAATTGCAGTGCTCTAGCAGAGTAATTTAAACACCCTTTTGCATAAACAGATTTGGATCACAGATATAAAAAGTCCTGAAGGTTCTGTAGTGTGTAATAGCCACTGCAGAAATGTTACTGCTGGCACAGTAGGTTCTTTTGTATGGTTAAAATGTTCAAGCAAATGAAGATTGCAGTTTGGCACTCAGTACTCGGATCAGCATATGCCACCAGGGCATGATTTTCACTTACAATAAGGACCCTTTATGTTGCTCCATGAAGTGGAGAGGTAGAGGAATACAGGGTGAGTGAGTGATTTCATTACAGCAAGCCTGCACACTGCGTCTGGGTCTGAAATCTCTATCTCTTCTGGTATCTAATAGTAGATTTATATTTTTCTTTGGGAAAAAAAAAGTTGTTTGACTGTCATTATATAGTGTAGTCCCCAAAAGCCAAAGAATATTCACTCCAGAAATTGTTTAAAAGGGAAATCTAATAGGTCACTGCTTAACACCAAAGGTAAAGCTTAATAAAATGCACTAGGAACTTTGTCTAAATTTTTAAGAGGCAAATGGAATGTTGATCAAAAATACTGCCCTATTCTACTTTGTAAAAATAGTAATAATTTAAATATCCATTAATCTTAAATTGAAATAGATCATCTCTACAAAAATATGCAACACAACCATTTCATAAGTATAAAATTATTTTCTTTGTAAGTGCTTTGACAAAAAAAAAAAAGAAACTTAAGTGATGAAAATCTCACCTATACTTTCATACTGAGGGTTGTATTTTTTTAATGTTTTTTCAGACATGAGGTCATCTATTCCAATTTGATAATGTTTTGTATGTTCTCACTGTTACTGCCATTTGACAGATACTCGCCAGGCTGTATTGTTCATGGTCTGTTCTATTACTTTCCGTTGAAGACAAAATGAGCATTTGAAACATGATTAATTCTAACAAGCTGACTATGATTTGACTTCTGTCACGTTTTTATTTGCATGGGTGTTTAAATGGTTCTGTTAGTACTGTCTTTGCACAGTTCTGATTTATCTTTTTTACTTAGTACTATTTACTTCATAATGTAGTAATCATCAGCCTTACTAATGACCTTGTAGCCTTTCTTATATGCACATAATGCACATTTTCCAATGGCTAGAAAATGCA